TTCTGGAAAAGTTAGTGTGGGTCATTAGTAAAAATGATACTAGTGAACCAGTTATGTCTTTTCACCAATAAAATTGGTTATTTACTCTGTTATAGTTTTATGATCTCTGTTTTAAAGAAGATATTAATTGACAGGGATATATGGCTCTTGATTCTTGCATGTACATATCAAAAATACATACCTATTGTTTTAATGTAGACACTACAAAAACACTGATCCTAAAATAAAGGCATCCCCATAAAGTAAAGTAATCCCCATGTGTTTGATAGCTTACATAATTCAAATGTAGCAATGCAGAGCACACCCACACCCTGTTAAAGCAATGTTTTCTATCAAGTGATACTTACCTAGTTTGGCCACTGCAGGAATTAGCAACTTGAAACTAATAGCCCAATGTGTACATTTGCAACAGTATCTGAAAGTGTGAATCATATATCTTATGACATATTTATTTTAATCAGAGCTACATAAACAATAAACATGTAAAAGTATGCTAAAATCATCTGGTTCTTCCTCAGCTCTACAAGCATTTGCAGTTTAGGTTTTCACATTTAGTCACAATTTTCCCTCTTTCAGTTTTCCTGATTTCTTTTACACTCATTATGTCCTTGTTCCCTTTTCCTTGGTCTTGGTGGAGAAGCTGTCCCTCCAATGTGGTCGTGCTGAGTGAGCAACTCCCAATCTCTGTCTGCTTATCTGTGTAGGTCAGACTTCAGTTCTTTTTCCAGCCAGAACATTCTGTTCTCTTCAATGTTCTGTTCCATTGTGTTTTGCCATAATCTGTAACTACCTCCAGGAGGTAGAAGAGCTTTGTCTTGACGCTGTTGTGAAGAAGCATACTTTCTAACTGAGGCAAAACCAACTATTGTCTTTATAGGTGTGGGGTACTGTTAAATATCTCCAACAGTGCCTGTCAACTCCTTAAGTGTTTGCCATCAGTAATCACATTGGCTTGTACATATTATTTCACTTGATCTCTACAACAACGTTATAAAAATTAAATTGTGCTTCAAATTAAAGGGGCAAAAATACTAAACAAGCAAAGAGCAGAATTAACCACTGTGGAAACCTGAGACGTCAAACTTACTTGTGAGACTGTTTCCTATAGAGAAGATTGAAAGACTACACAGATAAAAATTATCAGAACTTTGGAATCTATTGCATCAACTTGGAATTTGAGGCTTTGTTTGTCTACTTCCTGACAGACCACTTTACATAAAATTATCATTTCTCTACTTAGAAGTATAAGCGATTCCAGTGAATAAAAGGAGAAACAAGTAGTGCTTATGGTGCAAACTATGCAAAATCAGCATTTAAAATTGAACAGTGAAGATAATTAAGCACTGGCCTAGCAAAATCAGTCATTAAATTAAAACAAAATTCTTCTTTTTGTTTGTGTGTGTTGCTACAAACTGAACTTAGGACCTCACACACACTAGGCAAATGTTCTAGCTCTGAGCTATATTCCTGGTCCTAAAAAAATAATTAAGAATAAAATATTTATATGGAGATGAAAAAGACAAGTTTTGATTACAATTATAGATTTATTTTTGTGAATTTTAAATAAAATCCTTAGGAATAAATACTTTGCTTCAATGATAAATTTTGTTTGCTTCAAGGATTTCTTTATCTCTAGTGTTTTTATAATGAGGAGTCCTGGCACCAGACTAAGAACATGACCCATATCTCTTATCAAATTTGAAAACATGTTCAGTAGAAAGTATTTTACTTTCAGATATAGTCAATTGAAAGTATTGATAAAAGTAAAGTCAAGAGCATAGAAAAATGTTTTTTTATTCATGACATAAGCTTTAGAACTATTGCCAAAATGGTCTAAGTAAGGTAAGTCAATAAATATTCAGTAGACTTTTTTTTTTTACTTAAAATGCTTAGAAAAAGATTAGATAGGTAGTAAGTCAATCTGTTTCCAACATCCTTGCTGGAAGTCACTGCCTGTAACCTCAGCTCTGAGAATTCTAATACCCTCTCCTGTCCTCCACTGGCACCATACTCATACAAAATATTTACAGGTACACACATGCAACTAAAAATTAAAAATAAATCTGAAAATACGTACTCATGATAATGCTCCATGTATAGACACAGTCTGCCATTTTGAACAATTGTATATAATTGGTTAATAGTGTAAGATAAAGATTAATAGTGTAAGATAAAGAATTTTTTTTTAATCCCCAACTGTGACTCATTCATTACTTTGTGGATTTTACTATTAAAATACAAGGCTAAGATGAGTAGTAGAACTCAAGTTTGGGATTCAATTTTGTCCATTCATTTTTAAAAATGCACAGATCCCACACATAGTAGAAAATAGGAAACGAACAGAGTCGAGAAAAACATACTCTTTTCCTTTGGAAAAATACAAGCTGTCTTATTAGGGCAAGATGAACAATTCAGACTCATACAAGTTGGTTTGTATTTCCTGAAGAAAGGTAAAGTCCTCTGTCATTTTTGCTTGCTTCTGATTTTATGAGGACAGGATGCTGAAGAGCTCATGCTTTCCCCAGTGGTTTTCTTGTGTTCTTCATAGCAGCATGATTTGAACTAAGAAAAGTAAAGCAACCCAAGTGAATATCTTTAACTTTAAAAAGCAGTACATTTTGAAATTCAAACTCTTTGACATTCAGGTATGGTGCCTAGTTTGACATATCTGCCCCACTGAATCAACACATTTGTTAAGTGTTGATTAAGAGCTAAGAGAGTTTGAGATATGAACTAATTCCAAGTAACAGTAAGATACACAACAAATGACTCATTCATTTTAATATCGTATGCACAGCTTTTACAAAACATTTTCAAGTGTGGTTTCTGCAGTTTTATTTTTTTAATTAATTTATTTATTTTTATGCACTTTACATCCTGGTTATAGCACCATCCCAACTCCCCTCCCAGTCCCAACTTCCCTGCCTCCTTTTTAGCACCTTGCCTCTTCCTCAGGAAAGGGATTTCTCTTTCCCATCAACCCCAGCTCATCAAGCTGCATCAGGACTGAGCATGTCCTCTTCCGCAGTGGCCTGATAAGGCAGTCCCACCAGGTGGAAGTGATCAAAAATGAGCCTATGTCTAATGCAATCCCCACTTCCCTTACTAGAGGACCCACTTGAAGCCTAAGATGTCTGTCATCTCACGGAGGCCAGTATGAGGCCCAAGCATCATTCAACTTAAAGCCTTCTCTACCTACTCTTGAACTCTCTGACCATCAGAGACCCCCAGATCTGCTAACACTAGAGACACCAAAATGGGTAGAGGTCAGCATAAGAGCACAAAATCCCAGGGCCATCTGACAGCACCGGAAACCAGCGGTCCTACCACAGCAGGCCCTGGAGACACTATCACACCCAAAGCACAAGAAAAATATTTTTTTTAAATTTAATTAAATTTTAGTTCTTTTAAGAACTGAGAAATATTGTCCTGTTAAGCCACATGAAGTATAAAAGCAGTTTACTAATTTATGGTGTCTTCAAGTATTTCTGATAGATCTGTGAATTCACATGTGAATGTTTTACAATGTGCTTAACATGTACAAAGCAAATACATCATGCATGGTTTCCAAAACCATATATGGCATATTAAAGAACAAATAAGAAAAAGGGAGAAATATACTGGATATTACATTGCAATCGAAAAAAAATAAGTTATGTGTGTTTTGCTTTAAGAGCATTCTGTGAAAAAGAAAAAGATTTTAAGCTGAGGTTATGAAAATGATAGAGGCTTTAGAGGAAGACAATAAATCCCACAAACTAGAGCAGAAAAATACAATTAAATAAGTGAAAGAATTGAACAAATGCCTTAAAGAAATTAAACAAATACAGGAAACCACAATCAAACAGAAGAAGGAAATGAATAAAACTATTCAAGACCTAAGAATGGAACAAGAAGCAATAAATAAAACACAATCTGCACTTTTGTTTTTAAATGGCATTCTTGCCAATTATTTCTTTTTAATTTTTTATATTAATTAAATTTTATTCACTTTGTGCCCCTCCATCATTCCCTCCCAGTCCCATCCTCCCTCATCTCCTCCCATGCCCCTCTTCCAATTATTTTTGATATAATGTATGTGTGCGTGCGTGTGAGGTGTGTGTGTGTGTGTGTGTGTGTGTGTGTGTGTGTGTGTATGTGCATGTAAGTGGGCCTGTGTAAAGTTAGGAATAGCCTTAACAAACACATTGTATAACTGTCCATCTTCCATAATCTAAATTTTCAACAATAAATTTCTGTTCAGTTAAAAACATAAAATGTTAAGAAAATAAACCATTTCTGTTTTCAAGTACAGAGTTCTCTAACAACTTTAATTTAGCACATTTGCTCCCATAACTCATGTTCTAGAGATGAATTAATAAATATTACCTCATAGTGGAAAAATTACTTAATGAGTTACCATTTTATGTTTATAACTTATCTGCTTTTAGTTTCTTGTAGTTTTTAAATCACTTTTATTGTTATTTTAATATTTAATTTATGTACCTTCTGTTTTAGTATCAATAAAGGTGTTTTAAAGTAACTTAAATGTCATAATATAAACACAATAATTTTTTCAGTTAACTCAAAAAACCTACTTCTACAAAAAGGGCGAAGGAAGCTGCAGAGCAAAATGTTGAAAAGCAAAAGCAATACACTGTTGGAATGTTGCAATCAATTTTCCATAAAGCAAAAGAAAAGATACTGCTTCTAAAACTAATATCTTTAAAGATTTTTAATGTTTTGTGTAGGAAGTTTAGTTAATATTCTGTAATATGAAGGTAGTATCACTACTGATTTTTTGCAATATAATAATTTCAATGTTGGTTTCGTTCTTTTTGGATTCACTTAAAAAAATTAAAAAATACATTTTATTCCCATATAATACATCCCAATCCCAGTTCTTCCACCCTCTATTCCTCCTGGCTTCCCCTACCACCTCCGTATTAATATTTAAATGCCACTTATGCTTCCATTTTTGAGAACAGTTTTGATCTTTTGTTTTTGTTTTTGTTTTTCAGAACATGGTTGGAGAGTGGGCCTTACCAGAGGACATGCTTAACAGCCCACCGCCCTCCAACAATAACATCTTGGGTCATCTGCTTCAAAGATTAATTGAAAAATCTATTCCCTCTCAAGACAGTTCAGCAGAAATGGAATTACCTTCATTTGCTGTGAAGGGTTGCTTACTGGGGAAGACACTCAGTGGAAAAACCACTGTTCTAAAGTCTCTACAAAAAGGCAAGTTTCCTTTCTTTCTCTTTTCCTTATTATATTCTATTTGTACCGACTGTGGTTACAAATGTCTATGCCCATAAAAGTCATACCAGAGGCTCTGTTTAGAGAATGTCTTTCATCAAAAAATTTACGGTAGTACAATCACATGACTGATTTTCCATATTCACAATGAGTGAGGTACTGGGATATGCTTCAGACTTGGCAACACTATGCTAAATAATAGAAACCAGACGTGGAAGATGACATAATGCAACATTCAACTTATGCGAAGTATCTCAGAATAGACAAATGTAGGCAGATAGAAAATGATTCATGTTTTCTGGGCCCATGGGTAGGGAAATGGGTGTGCCATGTAGTAGGTGGGAATTTACTTTTGAAATAATGAGAACCCCTGAAGCAGGTTAATTGTGAGGCTCATTCAGCTCAGAGGATTTCTCAGTGCTGCTGAGCTGTACCCTTTCTACCAGCTAAAATGATTTCTTTCATGTGATGTAAACCTTATTACAAGAAAAAAAGTAGCTTTGTCTGAGGGACATCTTTAGGGAGTGCAGCATTACAAGGTTAATTCAGACCACTGATGCAGTGCTATCAGCTCTTAGAAGGCAAAGGTGTTTGTAAAATTGACCTTTCTACTTTAGACTTCCCTATTAGTGTACTTTCTATTGATGCTCTTGTCCGTGAAGCTATTCGGGCATATCATGAACATGAAGAAAACAGTATCCCACCAACATCTCAAGAAGGAAGTAAAAGAAATAAAGGAAATCTTACATTGACCCTGCAGGAAACTAGCACAAACCCGGTAAGTGTGATTTTAGTTTTCTGTAGCTGGTACACTACAGCTACAGATCAGGGTCCAATCCAAACATAATCCAGTAAAGGTCCAAAAAATGATTAATTAAGTTCTGTAGATCAAAAGGCCAAAGAGCAGGTATCCTCATCCTGGAACTACATCATGAAATCATTTTCCTAGATGAACCATCCAGAGTGGTGAGCTTATTTTGAGTTCAGTGGCTCTAAGATGAAGACATTCCTCAGAGGCAGGAGCTGCCAAGTGAATGGGATGGGTACCTCTCTCTCTCTCTCTCTCTCTCTCTCTGTGTGTGTGTGTGTGTGTGTGTGTGTGTGTGTGTGTAATGGCAGTTATTAGGAGAGCAGCCTACACTTGAAATAAGATCAGCTCCTAGACTGACAATCAGCCACTAAGCATCAGGAAGTTGAAAACAGCGCGATTCCCAATATGTGGTGACAGACTACTGATGACGATGGACAAGACAGCTGCTGGACCCCACAGGGTTAAGGGGAGAGTGGGACACTTTGCTTGGCTCTAAGCTCAGAATATGAGGCTGCTTAAAAGACATCCTGGAAACATATGAAAACAGCTAGTTGGATCAATTTAGTCCACAGCCAGAGTATACCAACCCATATTATATCTCAGCTAGAGTACTCCAAGCGGATTAAATTGATCACATTGTCATAATTTAACATACATATTGCACTTTATCACATTATTTCCAAAGATATAAAACTACATGCTAGGGAGTAGATGAGTATTATGTGACTTTAAGAATCACTGATGTCAAGGAGGGCCAAGATGGCAGCCAGGAGAACACTGCATCTGAGGAGCAGGACAACATTTTCCGTACAGCGACCAAGAGACTGAACTCTGGGCCCTAAAACAACAGCGATCCTGTTTCCCAGGTGAGAGGAAACCCCCGCGGCATGGGAATCAGTCGGGTCCACGCTCAGGTAACCCAGCCAGAACTCGGAAGAGATCTGCGGGCACTAGGTAGCTGGACCAGAGCCACATGCCTGCGTGTCCTAATCACCTTCCCAGGCTGATCGGTGGACACAAAAACACCAGAGACTGGGAGTCCCAATCACAAGAAAACCCACAGGGAAGGAAGGCAGTGGGACTGGCCACGGGTCACCCAGTCTTCCCCTGAAAAAAGTCTCACAGACCGGCGGGTCCGAGCCACCATCACTGAACTGGGCTTAAGTCACAAGCATGGACAGGGCCTGCGCACCAGCTCTCTAGCACAGACAGAGCTGCGCTCCCTAGTGCAACAGAGTCTGGGAGTCCCTGTCAGGAGAGGCCCCCACAGGGAAGGAAGGAAACAGTACTGACTTGGGCCACCCAGACTTTACCCTGGGAAAGTCTCTCGCAGACCAGCGGGTACGAGCTGTCATCACTGATCTTCCTTCAAGCCGGAAGCACAATGAGTAGTTGGGCACCCAGCTCCAGCAAACTAACAGGCAGGCACACGTGCCACCAGCCCAGAGACCTGCTTTGTACCAACTATTCCTCACAGACAGAACTGTGTGCCCCAGGACGCCAGAGACTTGGAGTCACTGTCTGGAGAAATCCTCACAGGGAACTAAGCAAAGGGGATGGACTTAGCCCACCCAGTATATCCCCAGAAAAGGTCCCACAGACTGGCACAAACCAGGGTCCTGCTGTGCACCAGATAGCCTGCTGTTACCAAGAGAGCAGTACTCACCTGCCACAGATTACTGCTTGGGTACTAGGGCACAGAGCCCCAACCTCAGACCTACAAAAGCCCGGGATCCCCGAGATCAACCTCCAGATACTGCTCCAAGGGGCAACTAGTCATCCCTAACAAAACCGACCAAACCATGGGACACACAGGTTACAGCAGCAGATCACTAAATTCACAGCAAGAAACTGGGCAGCTGTCTTCAGGACTTCTCCTGATGAGAGGAGAGCCCTCTCTACTAATAAGGACCACAGTTATCACTCAGGTCTCTATGCTGGACGTGAGCAGTGGCAACTCCTGAAAAACACCAGCCATCCAGTGACTATACCCAAAAAGCTAGGAAGGCTTCCTTCAGGAAAAACCATCTTCCTGCCAAAAGGATTCTCTCCACCACAGGACTCCAGGAACCACCAGAAACCAACTCCAAACACCTAAGATAACCCAATGGGTAGAGGCCAGCATAAAAGTTCAACCAACAAAAGCCAGAGCAATATGGCATCTCCAGAACCCAGTTACCCAGTAGCCCTAGACACCCCAGCATAATTGAAATACAAGAAGAGACCTAACATCTATGATCATGAAGAGGATAACAGAGGAAACAAAGAAAATGCATAAAGAAATAGAGGAAGATAAAAACAAACAGTTAATGGCCATCCATAAAGAAAAAGAGGAAGTTGCAGCCAAACAGTTTGTGGCCTATACAGAGGAAATGCTTAAATCACTGAATGAAATAAAAGAAAAAGAGGATTGTTCAAACAAACAGCTGAAGGAATTGATGGAAAAACAGGAAAATATAGTCAGACAGGTGAAGGAAATCAACAAAATGGCTCAAGACCTGAAGATAGAATTGGAAAACTTAAAGAAAACACAAATGGAGGAAATTGTGGAAAGAAAGAACTTAGAGAAGAAAACAGGAACCACAGAGGTTAGCATAACCAATACACTACAAGAGATGGAAGAAAGAATCTCAGGTGTGGAAGATACAATGGAAGAAATAGATGTATCTGTCAAAGAAAATGTTAAATCTAAAAAATTCCTGACACAGACCGTCCAAGAAATTCAAGACAACATAAAAAGACAAAACCTAAGAATAATAGGTGTAGAGGAAAAAGAAGATTCCCTGCTCCAAGGACCAGAAAATATTTTCAACAAAATCATTGAAGAAAATTTCCCCAACTTAAAGGAGAGGCCAATATGAATACAAGAGGCCTACAGAACAACCAATAAATTAGACCAGAAAAGAAAATCCTCCCGCCACATAATAATCAAAACAGTATGTATACAGAACAAAGAAAAGATACTAAAAGCTGCAAGGGAAAAAGGCCAAGTAACATATAATGGCAAACCCATTAGAATCACACCAGACTTTTCAACAGAGACTATGAAAGCCAGAAGGGCCTGGACAGATATCATGCAGACCCTAAGAGAACACAGATGTCAGCCCAGGCTACTATACCCAGCAAAACTCTCAGTCCTCGTGAATGAAGAAAACAAGATATTCAATGACAAAAACAAATTTCAACAATATCTACACACAAATTGTTGGTATAATGTTCTTTTAAAATGTATACGCCTTACCCTTGTTAATTCAAATGCTGATTTCTCCACCCCCAACGCTCTGGTTTCAATCTGGATATTGCATTGTGATATTCACTATAAGCGTCCTGTCTCAACTCTTGTGTAAACAGGACAAAATAAAGCAACTAGATACAATGTTGTGCAATGGGAGGAGCCAGAGGACAGAAAAGAGGGGAGGAGCTAGAGAGCAGGAAAGGAGTGGGAGGAGAGAAGAGAGCAAGGAGAGCACAGCTGGAGGAGAGAGCTTGGAGGACATGGAGCATGAACCAAAGCTAAGATTTCACAAAAAGCAAGTATAATGTGGGAAATCTAAATGTTAGGAAACTGAGGGCTTGGAGGATTAGGAGGGAGTAAATATTGCCCAGCATTGTGTTCTAGGTTAACTAAAAACCCAGTCTCTGTGTGGTTATTTGGTTATACAGCTGCTGAGAATTAACAGCAGCATTACCAGAAGATAAACCCATAGTAAATTTTAACTGCTTTCAACAACAAATCCAGCGTTACAGAAGACACTAGAAGGGAAAATACAACCCAAGAAAACTAGCTACTTTCAAGAAAACACAGGAAATAATTAACCTCACTACAGTAAAACAAAAAGCAACCAAACACACAACCTTATGACCACAGCCAACATCAAAATCAAAGATTCTAACTGCCACTTGTCATTAATCTCTCTCAACATCAATGGACTCAACTCTCCAGTAAAAAGACACAGATTAACAGAATGGATACGTAAACAAAAGCCAGCAATCTGTTGCATACAAGAAACACACCTAAGGCACAAAGATAGACATTACCTGAGGGTAAAGGGTTAGAAGATGGCTTTCCAAGCAAATGGACCCAAGAAGCAAGCAGGAGTAGCCATTCTAATATCTGATAAAATAGACTTTCAACCAAAATTAATCAAAAGAGATGGGGAAGGACACTTCATACTCATCAAGGGAAAATTCCAACAAGAAGACATCACAATCCTGAACATTTATGCCCCAAATACAAGGGCACCCACATTTGTAAAAGAGACATTTATAAAACTTAAACCACACATAGATCCCCACACATTAATAGTGAGAGATTTCAACACCCCACTCTCAACAAAGGTCAGGTCAGCAAGACAGAAATTAAACAAAGAAACAATGTCTCTAACAGAGGTCATGAATCAAATGGACCTCACAGACATTTACAGAACCTTACACTCAAACACAAAAGAATTTATCTTCTTCTCAGCACCTCATGGAACCTTCTCCAAAATAGACCATATAGTTGGTCACAAAGCAAGCCTCAACAGATACAAGAAGATTGAAATAATCCCTTGTATCTTGTCTGATCACCATGGAATAAAGCTGGACCTCAACAACAACAGAAATAGTAATAAGCCTACACACACATGGAAACTGAACAACTTGCTACTAAATGACAGATGGGTTAGAGAAGAAATAAAGAAAGAAATTAAAGTCTTCCTAGAACTCAATGAAAATGAAGACACAACATACCCAAACTTGTGGGACACAATGAAAGCAGTGCTAAGAGGAAAGTTCATAGCACTAAGTGCCTTCAAGAAGAAATTCGAGACAGCTCATTCAAGCAACTTAATGGCCCACTTAAAAACCCTAGAAAAAGAAGAAGCAGACACACCAAAAAGGAGTAGATGGCTGGAAATAATCAAACTCAGGGCTGAAATCAATCAAGTAGAAACAAATAAAACAATTCAAAGAATCAATGAAACCAAGAGCTGGTTCTTTGAGAAAATCAACAAGATCGACAAACCCTTAGCCAAGCTAACTAAAAGGCAGAGAGACACCATCCAAATCAACAAAATCAGAAATGAAAAGGGGGACATAACTACAGACACTGAGGAAATCCAATCATTAGGACTTACTTCAAAAGTCTATATGCCACAAAATTTGAAAACCTAAATGAAATGGACAATTTTCTTGATCGATTTGACTTACCAAAGCTGAATCAGGACCAGGTAAATCAATTAAATAGTCCTATATCCCCCAAAGAAATAGAAGGGGTCATCCAAAATCTCCCATCCAAAAAAAGCCCAGGACCAGATGGCTTCAGTGCAGAATTCTACCAGACCTTCAAAGAAGAGCTAACTCCAATTCTCTTCAAACTATTCCACAAAATAGAAACAGAGGGAACATTACCAAACTCATTCTACGAAGCCACAGTCATCTTGGTACCTAAACCACAAAAAGACCCAACAAAGAAAGAGAATTTCAGGCCAATCTCCCTTATACAGCCACTCCTGATGTGATCTGATAGATTAAGATCAGAAGGAAGGAGAGGGGGACCTCCCCTATCAGTGGACTTGGGGAGGGGCATGTGTGAAGATGGGGAGGGAGGGTGGGATCAGGAGGGGAGAAGGGAGGGGCTTATGGGGAGATACAAAGTGAATAAAGTGTAATTAATAATAAAAAAATAAAAATAAAAAAAACGAGGAAAAAAAAAGAAATTGTTAGTCAAGCCCTCCACCACCAGTGACTGTGCAATAAGTCCATACGGAACATATACATGCACAAATGCACACGTGAACTGGGACGAGATGAGCATTTAAAGGAGAAATTATAGGCCTAGCAGGACCAATCACTGGATAAATGCACTTGCAATCATGTCTGATTATCTGAGTTCAATCCCTGGAACCTACATTGTAGAAGGAGAGAACCAGTTCTCATAATTTATCCTCTGACTTTCACATGTATGATCTGGTATGCTCACTCATACACATACATACACACAGCAGTGTTTATACGCACATGTAGGTGTGTACAAGCACACATATACTCACAAAACACGAACACATAAATGTACCATTCATTTTCAAGGGAAGAAATTAGAAGGTAGAAATTAGAGATGAAAAAAAAAAAAAAAAAGAATCACTGCTGTGGCTCAGCTCTCGTGTTTATTAGTAGTACAGAGCCTACATGCGGATTAGTGTTCTCAAGGGCAGGTTTGTAGAAATGTACTTGTAATTCAATCTCAGACTTGAAGTCTACTACTCTTTTACCTCCTAATGTCTCTGCAATTGAATCAGTTAACAGAATTTGCTCTAAAGGATTTCCATTCACAGAACAAATACTAGTAAATCATGACTTATGACAATTTGTTTCATTGTGTGGATCTTCTCTCACATTGTGGCAAACTTTCATTTTGATAAATAGAGTAATGGGTACTGTACATTTTTCTCATATTTATCTGTAGCCATTACTGAAAGCTTTTGGATTGTTCTTTTAGGATATTTTCTACAAACTGACCATTTTCCCCAGTTCTCTATTTCTGAAAAAGCAGTTTCTGTACTACACATAGACATTAAAAGTCATTGTATGCCACAAGTAACTGTATTTCTCTGTAAATTCAATACTCATCATTTTTTTCCTCCTGGAAATCTTTTAGGATAGAAATATCAACCCAATTTAATATCATTACTGTAGATAAAATAATGTGCTCTCAAACACTAACTTAAGGAAACATAATGAAAGCATGACAATATTAAAACTGTGTGTTTGGGTTTTTTCTTACCATAGGATAAAAAAAAGAAAACAGTTACTCCAGTTTCAGGAGAAGCAGTACACCATGACAAAGGTAAGACTATCTAGCCAGTAAATAATGTGTTAAAACAAGTCATCCATCTTTTATATTGTAGCATGATAGAGGGAGTTACAGAAACAGTAGGAGTGCATGTATAACTTCAGGGGAAGAAATGGTAAACACAGGAGAATTAAATACTTCTCTGTGTGGTTATTAACTGAGTACAAGGTAGTCATTGAGCATATTGTGGATATATGCCTAGCTGGATCTTGAGGTAGCACTATTCCTAATTGTCTGAGAAAGGGCCAGATTGATTTCCAAAGCGGTTGTACAAGTTTGCATTCCCACCATCAATGGAGGAGGTTCCCCTTTCTCCACAACCTCTCCAGCATGTGTTGTCACTTGAGCTTTTGATCTTAGCCATTCTGATGGGTGTAAAGTGAAATCTCAGGGTTGCTTTGATTTGCATTTCCCTGATGACTAAGGATGTTGAGCATGTCTTTAAATGTTTCTCTGTCATTCGAGATTCCTCTATTGAGAATTCTCTGCTAAGCTCTGCACCTCATTTTTTAACTGGATACTTGGTTTGTTGCTTTTTAACTTCTTTGGTTCTTGATATATTCTGGATATTAGCCCTCTGTCAGATATAGGTTTGGTGAAGATCCTTTCCCAGTCTGTACACTGTCATTTTGTTCTGATCTACAGTGTCCTTTGCTTTACAGAAGCTTTTCAGTTTCATGAGGTCCCATTTATTGATTGTTGCTCTTAGAGCCTGTGCTGTTGGTGTTCTGTTCAGGAAGTTGTCTCCTGTGCCAGAAAGTTCAAGGCTATTTCCCACTTTTTATTCTAACAGATTTAGTTTGTCTGGTTTTATGTTGAGGTCTTTGATCCACTTGGACTTTGGTTTTGTGCAGGGTGATAAGTATGGATCAACATTTGAGGATGAAGGTGAAATCACAGTGAATATTTTCACCCTCTTCCTTAAAGTAATTGCTCACTGTTGCCTATATGGAACCAGGAAACACGATGTTCACTCACCTCCTTCTTGATATTTTGCTTTTCCTTTTCACCTATGCAAGTGTGTGTGAGAGAGTAATATCAGAGGTCTGATCATAGAGGAAAGCCTCAGAGTCTGTTCCCTTTGACTCCCGAGAACACTGGTCACTGCTCATCAAACTGGGCTAGCTCTTAATCTTTGACAGCAGCAATACAATAGAACTGAGCATCCTAAACCTAACTATAGTGTCTACCTTTAGGAATCCAGGATAATCCCCTTAGATTATTGGTAGAATCACTGAAGGAAAACATTTCCAATATTAGTTGGTTGTTCTACTGTGTTAGTAAAGCTTTTTGCACATTTCAGTTTGCTCACATTCTGAAGCTCAGGTCCTCCCGTATGATCACTGCTCTCCACTGTCACCATAGACAACCACAGATTTGGAATAACTGTGCAACTCTTCCAGTGTAGCTTTTTCTACCTCTTTTGAATGGCACTCTCCACTTCTTATTCCAGTTATTTTGTACCTTAATGGATTATTTTAATTATGTAGATATTAGTATTCTGACTTTTCATTATAAATATATTCTAAAAACAGATTTTCCATAGAATTTAACTAAGAGCCCGTTGTGATTTCTAAATGTTTCCAAACTTTCTATTATCTATTAACTTTACCATCCAGGAAAATATAAATGTAGGAAATTAACATCTTCATTTTTTTTCTTGAGAAAGTTGTTTTGTTTACGACAGAAGGAACAGAGATCATATATTTTGAATTTGTTATGAGCTCAGCGCATGCCAGGAAGGAAGTGGCCAGGGCCTGAAGTGCTGCAGACCAAAGAGTAAAAGCTGTGCTGCAGTGCTTGTGCTGCAGGCTTTCTGGGTGTATCACACATGGCTGAGTCTAATGCCCTTAATTCCCCAAACAGAAAGGGCCAAGTGCTGGCATGGTTTTTGAATGTCAATGTTGGGACTTTGCTCTTACTGCTTTCCTGCTACTAGGTATCAAGATTATTGACACTGAAGATTTCCACCAAAGTGAAGGTTTCTTAAAAGTAAGTATCATATCCTAATTTTGTCTATTCGTATATTAAAATGTGTCTTGATTTGTATTTTTGATATGTATTCAGACTGTATGACCTAAACAATGTTCTGTCTAATTTTAAAGTATGCTTGATAGAAGAGTGAATAATAATCACACTTTTTATAACATTGGGCCACACTGTGTGCCACTCTCCCTCTCAGGATAGCAGGCCTTGCATACTGGACTGCGCTGAAAGAAGAGAAGCTTTGCCAAGACAGGAGGGTGAGACAGGGTCTTGGTAGGCATGGGGAGTGTGTAGGCAGGGAACACACACACACACACACACACACACACACACACACACACGCCAGGGAACAGTTTTGGAGTGCTGATTTGTTTACTGGGGTAAGGGAGTATTTATTCCACTGAGGCGGTGATCAAGGCCTCAGGAGCAAGTTTTATGTGTGCTATTGGCCAGGCCAGGGTTGTTGGAAGATGCTTCATCTGCATACTCAGGAGCTGGGAGTTTGGGATGGGAGGGGGCATGACACTTTATAAGGTCAAACAAGGAGCAAAGATGATAACTCTCAGGGTAATAAATATTTTACTATGATTAATATGGGGAACTGTTTTTATGGTGCCAGGTTAGGAGGTTGCTTGAGGTATTGGGGTTGAAGCTCTCCTCAACCGTTTCTCTGTAATCCTAGGCCATTACCATCCCACAATATTCTTTACATTCTTAGTACTTTTCTATTTAAAGCAGTAAAAATTACTATGCCATTTTTACCAGGTTATGATTTTTTAATCCACTTCATATTTTTCTAAAGGATACTAGTACTTTATAAACAGTCTGGGCTAAATATATAGGGAAGCAATGTCACAATTAATCACATGTGTTTCATTTACTTTTTAGTATAATTGATTATTTTAAAATGAATTTCATCATAGACAACAAGTTTATCATTCCAAATTCAGAATTGATTAAATATAAAAACATGTTGGATTCAAAACCAAACAATGAGCATGATGACTTATTGAGAAAGAAGTGAGCTTAAAAAGAAATAAATACAATATTATAACTTTTACCTTATTCATTTGAAATATAAATGAACAGAAAGGTTGGGTTTATTTTTGTAGTTGCATTTGCTGAGTTATGAAAGCCTCCTAATCCATATTCAGTTCAGTTCAAATGTGCATGCTTTTCCCTACTCACCTTATTATTTGGACATATCAACAATTAGATGGTAGAGTTCTCTGCTCTTAGAGAGTTCATATTCTATTAGAGGTGGGCAGGTAATTAACCAACAACACTAGAAGATAAATTGAATGGCATGGTAAAAGATAATCAGGTTCAGGAAAAAACTGAAAAGTAGAGCATCATTTAGGGTAGAGAAAGGAGTGTTCTGATACAAAATTAAGGCAGGTCTTCTGGTGAAAGCAGGTTTTAAGCAAATCGAAAAAGGTAAGCGAATCAGCTAACCAGATCTAGGCAGCTTCTCTGGCAGCATAAATAGAGAGTCACAGGATGGGACTATATAAGCACAAAGTGTTTAACAAAGACTGAGATCAGAGAGTTGATGCCGGAAATGAGTCTGGTCAGTCAGAGCATGAGAAGTAATTATTAAAACTCCTAAGAGTATGCGGTGGGTGCTCTACATAGGTTAAATGGTCCTGAGTAGCGATAGCTTCTCGTTTGACATAAAATACTCCAGTGGCTGAATGGAAGGCAGGTTCTGTGGAACCCCACCTTCAGCGACATTACACAACTTATACAGAATAAACCCTCCTGAAAGTGGCAATCATTAACTCTGGACAAAACAAAAAAGTTCAGCACTAGAGTGAACTTACGATAGGAAAGGAAAGGGCAAGTATCAAGGAAGAAAAAGAAAAATCAAACTGAAAATCTGGAATTTGATCACTAAAAGATGACTGGTCAAGAGCTATATAGGTGAGGGTGTGTGTTCCCAGAGGGCATTCTCTCATAGATAGGAGTGGTTAGAACCTAAACATTCCAACCGAAAGTGTTAGAATATGAAGTTTGGGATGTTGAAGCTGCTGAAAATTAAGAGAAGAACATTTCAAAATTGGTTCTGATTCTGCTTGAATGCATCCTTAACTCCAGAAGTGTGGTAAGTCCTCAGTATCTTCCTTACAGAGCATGAATACGGAATTTTTTCAACTGTAAACATAGTGAATGAAGTGTTATTTTATTTTTTATTTTTATTTACTTATTTATTTATTTTTATTTTTTCACAATTTATTCATCATATATCTGTATTGAAGCCCCCTCCCTCAAATCTCCCCGGTTCCACCCTCTGTCCTTCTTCCCTTTTTATCTCCTTTCCCTACTCCACTGAAACAGGGAATTCTCCACTATTGCCATCTGCCCATAGTTTGTTAAGTCTCATCAGGACTGGCCAGGGTCCTCTTCCTCCATAGCCTGGCAAGGCTGCATCACCAGGGGCAAGTGATCAAAGATCAGGCAACTGAATTCATGATAGAAGCAACCCCTTCTCCCCTCACTCTGAAATCCACATGGAGACTGAGCTGCCAATTGGCCACACCTGAGCAGGGGGATTTAGGTCCTCTCCATGCATGGTCCTCAGTTGGTGCATTGGTCTCTGCAGGACCTCCTGGGCACAGATCCTTTAGTTTGTTGGTCTCCTTGTGAGGTTCCTGTCCCCTACATGTCCCTATATCCACAAACCCTCTTTTTCCATAAGACTTCATCCACTCCGCCCAAAGTTTGGCTGTGATTCTCAGCATCTGCTTCAAACCATGTTGGGTGGATCCTTTCAGAGGACCCTCTATAGTGGGCTCCCATCCTGTTTCCTCTTTTCCACAGTTTCTGTTGTCTATCCTGTTTGGCATTCTGAATGAGATTTAAGCATCCTCCCTAGGGTTGTCCTTAGTGTTTAGCTGTTTTAGGTGTGTAGATGGCTGTCCTGTATTATAAAGCTAATATCCACTTATAAGTGAGTGTATACCAACCCTGTCTTTCTGTTTCTGTGTTACCTCACTCAGGATGATTTCTTCTAGTTCCATCCATTTGCCTGCAAATTTCATGATTTCCTTGTTTTCAATAGCTGAGTTGTATTCCATTGTGTAGATGTACCACAATTTCTGTATCCATTCCTCCATTGAGGGACCTCTGGGTTGCTTCCAGATTCTGGCTATTACAAATAAAGCTGCTATGAACACAGCTGAGCAAATGTCCTTATTGAATGGTGGGGCATCTTTTGGGTGTATGCCCAGGAGTAGTATAGCTGTATCTTGAGGTAGTGTTCTTCCCAATTTTCTGAGAAAGTGCCAGATTGATTTCCAAAGTAGTTGCTTGCTGCTTTTCAATCAGCTTTCTCCTACAATTCTTCATTTCTTTTCACAGCTTAGTCCGCAAGCTCAACTTGGTGCAAAATCTGAATACTTGCTTAGAAGAGGAAAGAGCATTCCAGACATACTGCTGGTTAGCATCCTGGTCAATGCTATTAAGTACGTATTGCACCTTCCTTTCTAGTACCTATTTAATACATTCTTTTTGTTTCCTTCATGTATAGGTGTATGTGCTTGTGTATGAACGCATATGTGTGAGAGTGTGTGAGAGTAATTGTGAGACTGGGTACAGAAGCCCAAGACTGGCATCGAGAATTGTCTCATCTTTCTTTCCTTATTGTTTGAATCACACTCAGTCAAGCCCTGAACTGCACACACAAGCTGGTCTCCACAGCTACCTCACGTGGGGATCTTAATCTCATCTCCAAGAGTAGAGGAGGCCACGGTAGAGGACAATGCAGCCACTTTTGATGAGAACTGATAGACTAAGATCAGAAAGGAGAGAAGAACCTCCCCTATCAGTGGACTTGGGGAGTGACATGCATGCAGAAAGGGGAGGGAGGGTGGGATCGGGAGGGGAGGAGGGAGGGGCTTATGGGGGGATACAAAATGAATAAAGTGTAATTAATAAAAAAATAAAAAAGGAAAAAAAAGAACTATCCATCTAAAAAACAAATTAAATTCTCAAGAAAAAAATCAGACCAAAAACCAGTACAATAAACAAGGAATTAACTCACAAAAAAAAAAAAAAAAAAAAAAAAAAAAAAGAGTAGAGGAGGATAGAACTGCATTTGGGTCCCTGAGCCCAGCCATCATTTACATGAGTTCTGAGAACCTGAACTTCAGTCCTCATGCTTGCATGGCGAGCACTTTAACTACTGAGCCATCTCCCTATCCTATTTCACATATTATTTACCAAAAAATATATGGGAAGAATAAAATAGAAGTGCATTTTTTTTTACTATTTAAATGCTTCTAACATCCAAAATCTACTCCTAAGAAAAAGCGGAAATATATATATGTATAGCTTTGCATGCATATATTTCACTTCTCTCTGATCAACCTTGACTTCTACCTGATGGAAATATAGATCCATGTCTACTCTCTTTGGGGAATTCAAATTGGGTATTTAGATAAGCTGAAGGACAAGAGATCCTAACTGAATGGGCACAAGTTCCTATACTTTCTTGTGTTACGTTTCAGGAAGAGGGAAGGAATGGAGTCCACAGATCCAGAGGCTAAAAGTCACTAGGACAGCAAGTGGCGGTACACAGTCAAGACAAGGCACATATGTGAAACATGGGGAGGCTATGTGATATAGGATAAAGGGGAAAGATTCAAATAGCCTGTCATTTTGTACTTTCTCTGTCCTCTTTTCTATTGAGAAAGGTTCTCCTCAACCTTGCTTTGTTGTACATGGACATATCAAGAGGCCAGTAGTTCTGTAAAATAAAGGAAAGAATCCATACAGGATGGGGAAAAAGAGTAAAAGGCTCTGTAGAAAGAATTGGAGGGTGTGGAATTAGAGAGGAAATGGAACTGCTTAGCTGTGGTATGTGGGAAACATTACGACACAAGAAGGAGAGTTGATAGAATTTTTACTACCCACCTGGGATGAGCTCTTGCTTAATGTCGTCTTAAAAGGCTGCTTTAAAGATTTCAGCTGCATCTCACTTACGCATGTATCTAGCGATTGGAACGCTCAGAGCTGGAAGGGTTTCTATTCTCACATTTCTCAGAACTGACATAAAGTACACTCTACCACAGCACTCTTCGTCCATTGAGCAAATGGACATGCAAAGCATCAAGCAGCCCTTCACTTGAGCTTTAGCGGATCTGGAGGAACCATACTCGGTACAATATAATCACCCTCCTCACACCAAACCCCATTTCCAGTTCCTCAAGGACACCTCCGGGGACTGTCATTAGTTTAAGGTCTTTTGGTTTGGCCTAATGAGAAGAGGAACATCACACGTTCAAGTTACACAACTGTGTCTGGGTAATGATGCAACAAAACAATGTCAGACCCCTTGGCTCCCTGATACCTGCTGTCTCGTTCTAGCACAGAATGAGCATGGCTCTGACCCCTAACCTCTGACCTCTGGCTGTTATGGCTTCTGAGACAGCAGATTCCATAAGAGGGCAAGCATTTAAAGGAACTCTTTCCTCTGTATCAGACATATAAATTAGTAGGTCCAATCCATACAGAATACTTGATCTCTTTTTGGAGAAGTCATGAAAGTAAAATGTGGTCTTTTCCTGCATGTGACAAACTAGTGGAGGAGATAAAGACAGATGCCAGGAGGAAGTTGGGAACCACACTGAGAATCCTTAGACAGGAGGCCATTTGAAGTTTTATGCTGTTGATCACATAATGAAATATTTCTGATACTTAGTCTCCCATTCTCCCTGCCATACTGTCAAAAGAATTGCATGTAGTCCACAGAAGACTTTAAAACTTCTGGAAAGGTGATCCTATTGTTTAATATGAGAGCTACCATAGCAGTAAATAGTCATAACTTTAAAATATAAGGAAAATATCTGTTTTGCCTAGTTTGAAAGTATAAAAGAACAAAGATACTTAAGTCCTTTTGATATAGTTTATACATTATTTATCAAAGTCAATGTGCTGAGTGAAGAAAAACACCTAAGAAATGGTCCTTAAAATTTCAGAAATTTATAGCCTAACTTAATTAGAATAATGTTTTTAAAATAGTAACTTCAAGGCCAGGGATAATGTTACATGCCTTTAACCCCAATATTCATGAGGCAGAGGCAGTTACATATCTGTGAGTTCAAAGCTAGCTGGTCTACAATGTGAGCTTCTACACAGCCAGGGCTATTCCACAGAGAAACTCTGTCTCAAAAAATGAAACAAAACAACAAAAAGGTTAACTTGAAACATTGTAACTCAAGACTATTTCACTCATATGGTGAAATTTGAGAGCATAAGGAGTGGGTAGGGGTGAGGACGCCCTCCAGGTTGGTGATGAGAGTATAGACTAAGATCTGTGTTGTATTTATTAAATGTGTCACTTCTGCTCATCTTCACAAACCCCCAATAAGGTATTTTTACAGTACCCCATTTATATATGAGGAAGTTGAGGTACAGAGGACGTGCAGCCTATGAGCATAAGACAAACAATGCCACGTATAGCCACATAATAGTGAGGAGGTCTTGTAAGCATTAGAGTTTATAAGTTAGGGAGGATAAAAGATGTTAAGTGCATAAATAGATTCAAAGGACAACAGAGATCCATAGAAGAATTTTAAACAAATAAGCAATCAGAATACATTAAACAAAAAAAACCTAATATTTCAGCTATGAAATAGAGAAATCCATGCATTAAGATGAATTTGCAATGAAAACAAAGGCATTCATTGTACATCTAACTTTTGCAAAGTAACAGTGATGATCAACATGCTAATGAATTGTTCTGTTTGGATTTAGGAAGTTACCTGTGAACCAAAGCTGGATTCTTGATGGATTTCCATTAACATTGAATCAAGCCCAGCTCCTGGAGGAATCTCTTACAAGCTACCAAAAAAAATCCAGAGAATTAGAGAGGAGGAAAGCACGAATGCCCACACTGGCCTTTGACCCTACAACTTCCAAAGAAGTGCCTTTACTCCCATCTGCGTTTGATTTTGTCATCTTACTAGATATTTCAGACAGTTTATCACTGAGCCGCATGCATGATCTCATGGGTAAGCTGAGCACACCGCTTTGAAATCTCACACTTTCCCTCATAACCACAAGTGCTTTCGAAATTTGGTATTTTGTCCATTTGTTCTTTTGTTTTTGTCTTCGTGATTCGAAGAGTAAGGGAACATGAGGCTGGGGGTACCTAGGGTAGCAGAAAGAACCTGGGAAGAGTTGAGGGGAGGGAAAAAGCACAGTCAAAATCTACTATATGAAAGCTTTAAATAAAGAGATAAGGAGAGAGTGGGCAGCCTTGTCTTGTCCCTGATTTCAGTGGGATTGATTTAAGTTTCTCTCCATTTAGTTTGATGTTGGCTATAGGCTTGCTGTATGTTGCCTTTACTATGTTTAGGTATGTGCCTTGTATCCCTGATCTCTCCAAGACTTTAAACATAAACAAGTGTTGAATTTTGTCAAATGCTTTTTCAGCATCTAAGGAGATGAATGAATATGTGGGTTTTTTCTTTCAGTTTGTGAGCAAGTTAACCCAGAAGCAGAAAGACACAAAAATGATATATACTCACTTATAAGTGAATATTAGCCATATAATAAAGGATAAACATACTAAAATCTATAGCCCCAAAGAAGCTAAACAACAAAGAGCACCCTAGGGAAGATGCTTAATCCTCATTCAGAAAGACAAACAGGATAGACATTGGAAGTAGGAGAAGACAAGGCACAGGAAAGGAGCCTTCCACAAAGGACCTCTAAAAGACTCTACCCACCAGGGTTTGGAAAGAGATACTGAGACTCATAGCCAGATTTTGGACAGAGTGACAGAATCCTTATGGAAGAAGAGGGGGATAGAAAGACCTGGAGGGGAGAGGACCTCCACAAGAACAGCAAAGCCAAAATACCCAGAGAGACCTGCAGAGACCGATACTCCAACTAAGGACCAGGCATCTAGAGGACCTAGACCCCCTGCTCAGAGGAAGCTCAATGGCTTGATCAATTTCCAAGTGTGTTCCCCAGTAAGGGGTACAGGGGCTGTCTCTGACATGAACTCAGGGGCCAGCTCTTTGATCACCTCACCCTGGGGGATACAGCCTTGCCAGGCCACAGAAGAAGGTGATGCATCCAGCCTTGATGAGACTTGATAAGCTAGGGTCAGATGGAAGGAGAGGAGGACCTCTCCTATCAGCAGACGAGGGAAAAGATATAGGGGGAGAAGAGGAAGGGTGGGTTGGACTGGTAGGAGATGAGAGAGGGGGCTGCAGCAGGGATACAAAGTGAATAAATTGTAATAAATGAATATATAAATAAAATCAAATTAAAAATAAAGAAATACTTTTATAATTTATTATTTTTATTATTACAGTTGTTCACTTTGTATCCCAACTGTAGCCCCCTCCCTCATCACATCACAATCCCACCCTCTCTCCCTCTTCTCCCTGCATGCTGGTCCTGCAGTCCACTGATAGGAGAGGTCCTTCTCCCCTTCCATCTGATCCTAACCATCAGATCTCATCAGGACTGGCTGCATTGTCTTCCTCTGTGGCTTGGTAAGGCTGCACCCCCCTCACAGAAAGGTGATCAAAGAGCCAGCCAATGAGTTCATGTCAGAGACAGTCCCTGTTCCCATTACTATGGAACCCACTTGGACACTGAACTGCTATGGGCTACATCTGTGCAGGGGTTCTAGGTTATCACCATGAATGGTCCTTGGTTGGAGTAGCAGTCTCAGAAAAGACCCCTGTACCCACAGTTTTTGGTTCTGAGTTGTTGCTCTCCTTGTGGAGCTCCAGTCCCCTCCAGGTCTTCCTATTTCCCCCTTCTTTCATAAGATTCCCTGCACTCTGCCCAAATTTTGGCTATGAGTCTCAGCATCTGCTTTGATACCCTGCAAGTCAGAGTCTTTCAGAGGCCCTCTGTGGTAAGCTCCTGTCCTGTTCTCTATTTTCTCCCTCTTCTGATGTCCATCCCATTTGCCTTTCTGAATGAGTATTGATCATCTTACCCAGGGTCCTCCTTCTTGATAAGCTTCTTTAGCTGTACAGATTTTAGTATGTTTACCTATATTATATGTCTAATATCCACTTATAAGTGAGTATATACCGTGTGTGTCTTTCTCTTTCTGGGATACCTCATTTAGGATGATCTTTTCTAGTCCCCACCATTTGCCTGCTATTTTCATGATTTCCTTGTTTTCAATTGCTGAGTAGTATTCTATTGTGTAAATATACCACAATTTCTTTATCTATTCCTTCGTTGAGGGACATCTGGGTTGTTTCCAGATCCTGGCTACTATGAATAGGGCTGCTACAAACATGATTGAGCAAATGTTCTTATTGAATGCTGGGGGATCTTTTGGGTATATAATATAAACATACTAAACATCTTTTGGGTATATAAGATAAACATACTAAAATCTGTACACCTAAAGAAGTTTATCAAGAAGGAGGACCCTGGGTAAGATGATCAATACTCATTCAAAAAGTAAAATGGGATGGGCATCAGAAGAGGGAGAAAACAGGGCACAGGACAGGCGCCTACCACAGAGGTCTTCTGAAAGACTCTACCCAGCAGGATATCAAAGCAGATGCTGAGACTCATAACCAAACTTTGGGCAAAGTGCAGGGAATCTTATGAAAAAAGGTAGAAATGAAAGACCTGGAGGGACAGGAACTCAACAAGGAGAGCAACAGAACCAAAAAATCTGGGCACAGGGGTCTTTTCTGAGACTGATACCCCAACCACAGACCATTCATGGAGATAACCTAGAACCCCTGCACAGATGTAGCCCATGGCAGTCCAAGTGGGTTCCCTAGTAAGAGGAGCAGGGGTTGTCTCTGTAATAAACTCAGTGGCTGGTTCTTTGACCACCTCTCCTTGAGAGAGGAGCAGACTTGCCAGGCCACAGAGGAAGACAATGAATCCAGTCCTGATGAGACCTGATAGGCTAGAGTCAGATGGAAGGGAAGAGGACCTCCCCTATCAGTGGACTACAGGAAGGGCATGGGTAGAGAAGAGAGAGGGAGGAAGGAATTGGGAGGGGATGAGGGAGGTAGCTACAGCTGGGATACAAAATGAATAAATTGTAATTAATAAAAATTAATTAATTTATAAAACCTCATGATACATATAGCTTCTTGTCATCAAAGTGAAAATATTATTTTATTCTACAAATTAAATATTTACCAGGATGAAAATACATATTCTTAAACCTTGGTTTCCACTTATAAGGTATTTAAGAAACTTAATTTATTGTGGTTTCTTGTTTGTTCTTGTTTTGTTTTTAATTTTGTTTTGTGGTCTATTTTTTGCTTTGAAGTAAGGTCTCATTGTATGGCTCAAACTCATTTTAAACTCATAGACTCAATGATTTTCTCATCTTAGCCTTTCAAGAAACAGAGACCTCAGCCCAAATGTATTTCATTGCTTACAGCTCAATTTCCCATAATATATAATGAAAAAGACAATTGTATTTTCATTCCTATTTAAAGAAATTGGGCCTAAATTTGTAGAATTTGTCTAGTATGTAGTAAATGTAAGGCAAATTTGTAGAAGGCTTTGAAATGAATGAAGATTACTGGATGTCTTACAGTAGAGACCTGTGCATTGTCTTGAGATGCTTTGAGATAACTGATTCTACTATGACATGTAACTTTGATGTGAAATTCTGGAAATCCATAGGTTAGAGGAAATTGTTAGCAATTCAAATTTCATCTGTTTACTCACAGGCTTGTGAATTTTCTTCAACTGAGATACAATTTCTACACTATCAAAAAGATCACTGCAAATATATTTTTCTATAAGTAGTAACTAGTCTTTTCATCTATAAATATCTGTCTCTCCATTGCCAATTGCTTATAATAGTATGCACTTTCTTTTTCTGAATTGACTGTTAACACCTTAAAAATTCTCTTATTAATTGGCAAATTGAATGATTTTTACAAGACATCTCATTTCATGAGTATTTGTTATGGATTTACCTTTAAAATATATGTTTTGCCAAATAATACCATTAATTATTCTTTTGTTAAATCTGTCACTACTAGTACAGCACTCAGAGTTAGATCCAGCTAGAAAAATTGTGAAGGAATCATTAAACCCTTGATCTGCTGTGTGTTCTTGTACCCTGTGCCATTACTTATATATTTAGAGGGAGGGATTTTTTTATTAATTACAATTTATTAATTTTGTATCCCAGCTGTAGCCCCCTCCCCCATCCATTCCCAATCCCACCCTCCCTCTTCTACTCCTATACCCCTCCCCCAGTCCAATGATAGGGGCGGTCCTCCTCCCCTTCCATCTGACCCTAGTCTATCAAGTCTCAGCAGGACTGGCTTCTTTGTCTTCCTCTATGGACTGGTAAGGCTGCTCCTCCCTCAGGGGGAGGTGATCAGCAACATATCAAAACATGCTGAGATTCATAGCCAAACTTTGGGCAGAGTGCAGGGAATCTTATGAAAGAAGGGGGGAGATAGAAAGACGTGGAGGGAACAGGAGTTCCACAAGGAGAGCACCAGAACCAAAAACTCTGGGCATAGGAGTCTTTTCTGACACTGATACTCCAAACATGGACTATGCATGGAGATAACCTAGAACCCCTACACAGAAGTACCCCATGGCAGCTGAGTGTACAAGAGAGTTCCCCAATGATAGGAACAAGGATTGTCTCTGACAAAAACTTAGAGGGATTTAAAGCATGAGTGCTTGACTTCTTCAAGCTTACACTATTGATCAGTTTGAATGTATAGAATCTGATCTCTTATTTTCACTTTTTACTTAGACAAAATGGCGATGGCTAAAAATTAGCAAAGAGTACTGACAATCCATTGCCATCTGGGAAAGGAACCAGATCATGTACATCGTGATCAATATGCCTAAAAAACAGATCTAACAAGCTTCTATAAGGCACATCCAGAGACCTTTGAGTATAATCTATGACCCTACAAACATAAGGTTCACACCCTGCCTTGGAGCTCTATGGGAAGCAAATTATTCTGTGTCTCAGAACTACAAAAGATACCAACAACCAAGACATTTTCAAGAAATGCAATTT